TCTCTCTCTCTCTCTCTCTCTCTCTCTCTCTCTCTCTCTCTCTCTCCGAAGTATCCTATAAAAACGATTTCAAGTTGTTAAAAAACTTAACAAATCGTCTGTGTCATTTTATTTTGACCGACACGTGTGAACATGAACAGAAACTTACGATGTCGCGCAACGTTCGGGAAGGAGCGACACAAAACACTGAATAACAGGGTGCAGGTAAGAGAAGCCGAGCGAGGATGACATAGTCACAGAAAAGTAACACGTGTGGTGGCGGCGCGAAGTGCTCATATGTGGGTACGGAACCGGTCAGCGGTCCAAGGATGGAAAATAAAGACGAACAGCACCGCCGAGAGGTGACAAGCGAACCGTTGTTGCCATTGACCAGTGAGAGGTCAGCAAAGAGGTGGCATAAAATGTTGAGGGACCCTTGGTACGCGGAAATGTACGATATAATGACAGAGGGTGAAGCAAAGTCTCCCCAGTTGATAATCGAAGAGTCATCCGACATTAAGGGAAAAGCGAAAGTCGGGACATGACGAGAATGAGAGAAGAGCAGACTGACATTAATGATGAGGACGAATTGACCGTTGGCTTGACCGTTGAGGTCGTCAAAGGACGATGCGAGGAAAGTTCACTACTCCGGGTATTTGTTACATAAAGACTGGTGGCTTGACCAGTTGATTGGTCCGCAGTAGCCAACCTTCTCGCGGTGATGGCCGGGGACATCTTCCAAGTTTTTTTTTGTTTTGTTTTTTTTTGTTATTGTGACTATGCGAACCCGTGCCGCCTGACAATACAGATACAGCCATTCTGACGCACAAAGAGGTTGGTAACTTAAATGACGTCGCAGTATCAACAATAAGATCTTGGTTGTGTGTGTGTGTCTCTCTCTCTCTCTCTCTCTCTCTCTCTCTCTCTCTCTCTCTCTCTCTCTCTCTCTCTCTCTCTCAATGCGGCCATTACACTTTAGGGGTGTATGGATCGACGCACGACATTGCTGACGCAGTTGTTGTTCGTATTCCACTTTGATGTATGTGGGGAAAAAAAGGGTCATGGCTCCAAAGCCAAAATACGAGGATCTGTGCAGGTCTTTGAAGGTCATGGGAAAGAAGGACAAGGGGAGGAAGAAATGCAAGGTTGATAAGAAAAAAGAAAGGAGAGAGCATCGCAGAAGCGGATCCCAGAATGCAAAAACGGAGCGGACCAGCATCCGCAGAATTGGATCAAAAGTTTCTCTCCCATCAAGTCAGAGAGGGATTTCAAACCTGAAAGAACGCAATGAGTCACCCCCTGCGACTCCTGCCCCACAGAACCGTGCCAGCGGCGTTGAGAACCATCCACCCAAGGCCCCCGAGAAGAGGTCGCAGGAAGACGGAATGTCAAAGGTGCACCGCATGACAAAAAAAAGAATCATGTACAAAAAGGACAAAATGGTGGAGATAATCGATCTGAGAGCCTCGGACAATATGCACAGCGCGGCCCGAGAGAAAGCAGAAGAGGAACACGACCAGTCCATATCAGAAAAGTCTGACGGGGAGGAGAACGAGGCAACAAATGACGAGGGAGGTGACAGTGAAACTTCCGACGGACATTATCGCGACACTCACGACGCTGATGACGAGGACGGCAGGAGCAGCGACGGCACAGCGCAGGACGAGGGCGGTGACGGGGCAGGCGAAGACGACAGAAGCGCGGACGGAAGAGGGAGTTCCCCATCTCCGGAAAGAACACGACGCACGAGGGAACCCGAAAGTGACGGCGAGGGAGGCGCAGCCGACGCGCCCTCCATTGACAGACAACTAGTGAGGCACGACAACGCAGTTAAAAAAGGTAAACAAAATGTGCTGCAGTTGCTCCTCTTGCACAACGATTACGTGGTAACGGCGCAAAGTGATGATATTTCCTTAATGCGAGGATGTCGCTGTGATGACCGAACAGTTGAAACGGGTTGTCGAATTTCGCAGGTGAGAAAATGGGTGCGAAATGCCGAGTTCTTAATATTATTTTGTGCGTTGTAATGTGTGTCTTCCCGCAGATGGCACAAACTCGCAAAGAAAAGTGTGCGCAAGCAGGGGAGGACAGCAACAAGCCAATCAAGAAAGCGGCGTATTCTCGAAGAAAATGAAGGACGAACTGTTCCGGGCCGTCGCAAAAACCTTTGCATTCTCAGCAGCAAAGGACGCAACTTTGTACCCAACAGAGGATGGATTTTCCACGGCGCTGCAAACAATGGCCAAACTGATAGGGGAGAACGCGGAGGAAGGACTGCGATCACACATAGCGGAGTGCGGGATTCGAGCAGTCATAGGGGAGTGCAACAGAATGATGACAACCGTGCGTGGAGATATAACATGGCAACTGAAACATTGGTTCTGGGCTGAAAAAAGGATTCTGCTTGTACGATCGTAGCAAACAGATCACCAGCTCCCTACTCGCAACAAGATGTGAGCAAAGATGAAGGAGAACAAAATGTGGAAACGGAGCGGCAACGATCCTTGGGGCGCCCCAACCTTCAAGACGACACTCACAAAGGTTTTCCAGATGAGGAGGGACGGCGTAAACCTTGGCGTGACCCTGCAACAACTGGCTTTTGCAGAGATGGTTCTGCAATGTGAAATCGAGCAGACAACAAAGACCAGCAAAGCGGCGGAGCAGATAGGAAAACTGGTCTCTATAAAGCAGGACATCGCATCATCTGTCCGCAGCCGCGATACAGTCATGAGTTTTTCGATCTTCAAGCTGGACCGTGCCGTATCTGTTGCTGAGAAGGCTGCTGCGCTATTTCGAGTTCGCATGCCCTCTGTCCATAGGAGTGGGCCACACAACACAACAATAACGGATGACAATTTCGACCTGGAGTTCAATGCACCGCTGCATGAGAGAAGCAGAGACGGGGAGAGGGATACAGAAAGTCTATGCGCCAGACCTTGAACAGCGGGGGGGAGGGGGGAGAGGTGGTGAACACAATAGTGTGAATCAGAAGGTTCATTACAGAATCTGTGAATCAGAAGGTTCATTACAGAATTTGTGAATCAGAAGGTTCATTACACAAGGTCACGGTCATTGCATGAGAGAGAGAGCGAGGGGGAGAGAGAGAGAGAGAAAGAGAGAGAGAGAGAGAGAGAGAGAGAGAGAGAGAGAGAGAGAGAGAGAGAGAGAGAGAGAGAG